AACTCAATGTCACACATTCCAAGGGAGGGCAGAGGGTAGGCATGGCATCTTGAACTGCCGCCCTACCCTTTAGTCAAGAGGGCCATTCCTCAGCCTGCACAGGCCAGATGGGGCCTGGTCAGAAACCCTCTCCTGAGGACAGCTCCAAAGGGGAGTTTGGCGCAGTGCAGAAAACGCGTTTGATGGGGAGGGGGTGACAAGACTTGAACTTAGGGGCAACTGGGTTACTTGGGATGGGAAGTTCCAGTCTTGGGGTTTCCCCACATCAGGTGGGGAAAATGAAAGCCAGGGCTAAGCAGTCTAGACCTGGACAGCTGCCTTGGGGCAATTTGGCTAAAGGCCTCTGGGGGTGGGGGGTGCTTAGGCAGGAGAGGGGCAAGCTTTTGCTGTAGGCAGGCAGGAAAGAAGGCCAGGAGAGAGTGACGGAGGGAGGGAGGAACCAGTCTGGAAATCCCCTCGGCCAGGGCCTGCTCTCTGGGTCACATTCCTGCAGCCATCTCCCTCTCTCCCTCCGTGTCCCCTCCTCCCACTTCCTCACTTCCCACAGTCCTGCCACCTCCAGAGGAGGAAAGAGCTCCCCGGGGAGTCTTGATGCTTCTACACAGACACACAGACGACACACACACAGCATCTGTCCCTAAGCAGAGCTGGTCAAGGCTGCAGCTCAGAGCCTCCCAGAGGAGGGCAGGGGGAGCTGTGCACGGAGCTCCCTAACCTGACTCTCTGGGCAAGGGCTCGTGATCTAGGCACCCAGTAGACAAGGCTTTACCTCTTCTCTCCCACCCATAGGGTGGAAACTATCTTTGCCAAGTACCCACCCAAGACCCTCATGTCTCCAACAAGCAGGTCAGGACAGGACCCCCCCCCCCCGCATTCCAGCATCTCTCATCTGGGACTCCAAAAGCCCCGATCCTGTCTGTCATCTCCAAAGCCCAGTCACTCCATCTGCTAGCATGCTCTTCTACCTACAGCCAACTCTTACTGGCTACCCAATCCCAGCCCAGCTGCACCTGACTCCAACGGGGCCTCAGGGAGGAAAAGCAAAATGAAGAAATAAGACGGGAGAGGGACGGGGATTTGGGGAGCTGGGGGTGCAGGGTGCTGGGGAGACTGACACCAAGCCATCACTTCCCTGTTCTCAGCAGAGGAGGAAGTAAGCTGGCAGCCAGCTGCCTGTCCTGTTTGCTGGGGCACGAATTCTCCGTCCAGTCTCCCTTCTTTTGGAACCAAACAGGCGACCTGGAGGCCCCCTTAACTCAGCTTCCTGGGCTCAAATGGTAGCCTGTAACCTGGTGCCATCGTTTGTTCCTTCAGATAGTGCATTCTGAAGCCAGACAATGTGATCTCAAATATTGAGCAAACAGGAACATCCTCTCTCCCAACAAGAAAAACCAAAAACTGAATCGGTTGTGGGGAATTTCTCTTCCCAGGGGCGGGTCATTGGTAGATTTTCAAGATTCTGGCTGGCCTTCCAGGTTCCATGGGCTCTGCTAGCTCTGCCCACTCCCAAAAGAGGGAGATGATGTCTAGTCTTTTGCTCTGAACCTGGCTACAACTTAAAAGTAGGCTACGAGTTAAGTTTGGAGTTTGGAGAAGGGGGTTGGCCCTTCCAGGGAGGTGTTGTGAGGGTCTGATGATGATAATGGTGGTGGGTGACCCAGCCAGCTGCAGCTGGGGTCCTTCTGAATATCCCGTCTCAGCCTAGTCAGTTTACTCACGTGTCTCCATCCTCAGAGATGTACGTGAGCGCTTCGAGTTGCTGAGGGCTCAGCGCGTCTTTGTGGGGCAGCGGTGAGCCTGGGGCCGGATCCTCCACTCCGGGTCTCCCCAGTAAGGGCAAGGACTCGGTGAGCGAGGAGGAGGCATAGGTGGAGTCCGCCCGCTCTCCATCCGCATCTTCTTTCTCCCCCGGTTCCTTGTGGGTCTCTGGAGGATGGCTCCAGGGCTGTGGGCAGCCTCTGTGCGATGGTTCGGGGACTGGGGCCGCAGTAGGCTCGGGCAGGGAGCGCAGAGAGCGCAGCGACTCTATGCCGGAGTCGCACTGGCTGTCGTCCGCCTCGTCCGGCCCCTTCTGCGCATCCGACATGCCGGCCGCGCCAGTCGGGGGTCCGGGGTCCAGCGGGATCTAACTCTGAGATGCGCTGCGCGCTTTTCCGGGTTTGTGGGTTCGCCTAGCCGAACCAGAGTCCCTCTCCGAGCGGCTTCATTACCCGGCTGTGCAGGCGCGAGGAGCCGACAAGAAGCGCGAGAGGTCGGGTGCTCCCACCAGGTCCACCGCAGCGGATGCTTTGAGCAGCTGAACGGTCCCTAGTCCAGTCTTCTCTCTTGCCCCGCCCCCGGGTCCAAGAAGTGGCGGCCAGTCACTGCCACGCCCACAGCCCTGCCCCTCATAGGCGCTTCCGGGTAGAGCCCCGCCCCTTCGGAATCCCCCTTGTCTGTTGCCTGCGTAGGCTGGGAGTCTCTGGTTACCGGTCTTGAGTCATCTTGCGTTGATTGTTTCGCCCATTCATTCCTTCCTTCATTCATTCGTTCATCATTCATTTCACCCTTCCCCTTTCTTTTTATTTCATTCATTAATTCCATGCATTCGTTCGTTCCTTTATTTCTGTGTCTTCATCATTTATTTGTTCATTGTTTAAAATAGTGTATTTCTTGATTTTCTGCGCAAATTGGCTGCTTCATGGGGAGACTGTTTGGTGGGATGCTCTCTCTCTCTCTCTCTCTCTCTCTTTTGGTTGGGTTTTTTCGAGACAGGGTTTCTCTGTGTGGCTTTGGAGCCTGTCCTGGAGCAGGCTGGGCTCTTACTCACAGAGATCCTCCTGCCTCTGCTTCCCAAGTGCTAGGATTAAAGGCATGCACCATCACAGTCTGGCAGGATGGTGTCTTAGTTAGGGTTTCTTTTGCTCCAAGGGAACACCATGACCAAAGAGCAAGTTGGGGAGGCAAGGGTTTTTATCAGGTTTACACTTCCACATCAGTGTTCACCACTGAAGGAAGTCAGGACGGAACTCAGAGCAGGGTTCTGGAGGCAAGAGCTGATGCAGAGGCCATGGAGGGTGCTGCTTACTGGCTTGCTTCCCATGGCTTGCTCAGCCTGCTTCCTTATAGAACCCAGGACCAGCAGCCCAGGAATGGACTGGGCCCTCCCCATCAATAACTACTTAAGAAAATGCCCTACATTTAGCTCCTTTTTTATAATTTACTTTGTTTTTATGTGCTTTGGTGTTTTGCCTGCATGTATGACTGTGTGAGGGTGTTGGGCCCTGGAGTTACAGACGGTTGTGAACTGCCATGTGGCTGCTGGGGATTGAACTCCCGTCCTCTGTAAGAGCAGTCTGTAGTGGGAATTCCTTTCCCCCAATAGTTTCAGAGTCTTAGGGCTGAAGTCGCAACCTAAGACTCTGCAACTATTGGCGGAAAGGAATTCCCACTACAGCAGTCTCCTCTTAACCACAGAGCCATCTCTCCAGCCCTACCGTGAACCCTATGGAGGCGTTTTGACTGAGGTTCCCTCCTTTTGGATAACTAGCTCCTGTCACATTGACATAAGACCAGCCAGCACAGACGGGGAGACTTTTCCTCCTACCCTCTGCCTATTTTTCTCAGTTTCTATCAGTGCCCAGGGGTATGGGTAGGAGGGGGTACACTTCATTATCCTTAGGGAGGCAGCTTACCTTGGGAATCTTTATAGGCAGTCTCCTGTGTCAGCTCCCCAGGTCACAGATTTGGCAGGAGGATGTGATTTGGAGAAGTGGGTTTTCTGGGGCAGACTTGTCTAACAAGTCATGGTGGTCATGTGGTTTCTTCTTCCTCACAGGGTGGTGCACTGGCCTTTGGTGGGTACAGTATCTGGTTACCCCCAGTAGTCAGAGAAGTTTAGTTCCTTACAGTGGGGCCAGGATGGGGAGGTCCCTGACACTGTTGAGGTCGCCACCCCAGCCCCAGCCGTGAAACATCTGTCTCTCCCTGTCCAGATTTTCCTTGACATAACTGGATTTGAGCCCCGAGCTGGAGCTTAGCGCTGCTCTTTCCTTGAGCTAGCGATACCCTTAGAAGGTCTCCACCAGCCAAGGGAACAGTGTCATTGCATACCTGGTATTGGGAAGGGAAGCTGGGGCAGACAGCAATTCTATTCTGCCATTTCCCCTGGGAACCGTAGTTTATTCATCCAGATGTTCCCTCATTTGCAAACATATATGGAGCCGTTTTTAATATATCTGATATTCTCTGATCTGAGAGATAGATCAATAACCACAGTAACAATAATAACCATCACCATCACCATCAGGGAAAAAACCGCCAGCCTTCTAAAAGTTTCTGGCTGTGGCTGGAGTGATGCTCCTGCAGCTAAGGGCACTAACCGTTCTTGGAAGGGACCAGGGTTCAGTTTCCAGCACTCACATGGGGGCTCACAACCACCTGCAATCTATATTTGATTCGATGCCCTCCTCTGGTCTCTGTGGGCACTTGGCATGGGCAGGGTGCATATGCACACATATGGGCCAAACACTTACACACATAAATCAAAATAAATAAATCTTTTAAATTCTGGCAATTGCCTTTCTCGCTGTCCGGCCATCTTGGCGGCTGCACTTGGTTTGGGGGGCCTGCGCCGCACCGGAGGCAGGAAAGATGGTGGCCGCAAAGAAGACGAAGAAGTCCCTGGAGTCCATCAACTCGAGGCTCCAGCTGGTGGTGAAGAGCGGCAAGTACGTGCTGGGCTACAAGCAGAAGCTCAAGATGATCCAGCAGGACAAAGCCAAGCTGGCTAGCCTCGCCAACAACTGCCCGGCCTTGAGGAAATCTGAAATCGAGTACTATGCCATGTTGGCTAAAACTGGTGCCCATCACTACAGTGGCAATAACTGAGCTGGGCACAGCGTGTGGGAAATACTACAGAGTGTGCACACTGGCTATCATTGACCCAGGTGACTCTGATGTTATTAGAGCATGCCAGAGCAGACTGGTGGGAAGTAGTAAACCAGAAAAGCCTGCCTTTAATAAAACCACCCAAGCTCTTTAAAAAAAAAAAACATTCTGGAATTACAGCTGAGAAGAATTGTCATACAGTAGGGCCAACTACTTACTCAGCGGGGAGAGGGACAGAGTTGGTTCTTTGAGCTGGAGACGGGGAGGGAAAGAGTGAGAAGTGCCTCTTCTCACTCACTGCTCTCCAGTCAACTGGGGGACTAGCAAGAGGACATGCTAAGTACAAGGCAGGTTGGAGTCCTGGCAGGACAGCCAAGGAACTGAGGCTTCTGTTAGGAATGTAGCTCAGAGACAGAGTGCTTCCCTGGCAAATGCAATGCCTTGGGTTTGATCCTTATCACGGTACCCCAAAACAAACCCCCCAATCAATCAAAACAAAAGATACTCTATTAGGGTCACAAGTTTTCAGCCTCCTTTCCCTTTTCAAAATGTAAGCAAACGTCTAAGCTACAGTTTAAAAAAACTGCCTGGCCGGGCGTTGGTGGCACACGCCTTTAATCCCAGCACTTGGGAGGCAGAGGCAGGAGGATCTCTGTGAGTTCGAGACCAGCCTGTTCTACAAGAGCTAGTTCCAGGATAGCCTCCAAAGCCACAGAGAAACCCTGTCTTGGGGAAAAAAACAACAAAACAAAACAAAACAAAAACTGCCTGAGCCTCAGGAAGGTCAGCTGACTTGCCCAAGAACACATAGTCAGAAAAAGACACAGCTGGTTTCTTCTGAGCTAATCATGTTTTATAAGTTTTCTTCAATGCAATCCCTATCAAGATCTAAATCTCATGGATGGTGGAACCTGTGCACTCTGTAAGGGCACAGGACTCAGGAGAGTGCAGGGACCACCTTTCTAACTCACAAAGAAGCCAGATTTGAAGATGACTCTATTTCCCCCCAACCAGGTGTCAGGTCCTGAGCACAACAGGTAGGTGTGTGGCAACCCTTTTGTTGACCACAAGAGGGCAGCATTGAGCCACCCACAGCCCCAGCCCAAGAGCCTGCCTATACACTGACAGAGAACCTTTCTGTCACTCCCGAGTGGGGACAAGGACCCCAGTGGCAGTGTTATCGGAAGAGATGGCCCTTCGCTTTTGATTCAGACTGCAGTGTGGTGAGGTCCTGACTTTCCTTAACAACAGTCCTCTCCCGGGTGTGGCCACTCAGCCCCTCCCTCTCTGCTGGTGTCCTCTGGTTCCCTTTGGATGGTTCTCTGCACCTCCATCCACTGAGTTAGGCTTATCTTCAGAGAAACAGGTTCAGTTTCCATGGTGATCAGGCGGTCAACTCCTTCCACTAACCCCTCCTTTCAAACCCCATTTCCTGGAGCTTCCAGGGAAGGATATTGGCTATGACCAGGGAAGATGGGGAAAGTTTTTTTGGGAGTTCTGGGGTCGACCAAAGGAAGAAGTTGTCCCTCTTTTAATGGCCCCTGAGATAGAGACAGTGGATAGGCGGCAGGAGGAAAGTATGGTGAGTCCCTGGCGGTTAGGAAAGGCCAGTGTCTGTGAGGCAGGCTTCCCAAACAGTGTGGGTGGGAGCCACTGGAGTGAGCCACCAAGAGAGATCCCTCTTGGGTCACGGTGTGGATGGGAAGGTCTCCGTTCTGGAGACTACATCCTGGTGGAGAAAGCTTGGTCATTCAGGTTGACACCTCGAATCAGTCGGTGGACAGAAAGCCGCCGGTCCTCACTGGGAAAGGGAGGAGGACCAGGAGAATGGAGGCAGCAGGGGTGAGGATGCTCTCCTGGTCCAGAGGAGGCAAGAGAGCACCCAGGCACCCGAGTATGCTCACTTCCTGTCCCCAAAGAGCAGTTATCAAACTGCCTCAAGGCCACTCCCTGTCCCTAAAAAGGGACTCCCAGTCCTGGGCATTGAAAGTAGAGTTTCACACTTTAGACAACTGTTCTGCCATTCAAGTACAGCCCCAACCTACTACCTACCCCCAACTTTTTTTTTTTTTTTGGTGTTTTCAAGACAGGTTTTCTCTGTGTAATAGTCCTGACTGCCCTGGATCTCCCTTTGTGGACCAGGTTGGCTTGGAACTCACAGAGATCTTCCTGCCTCTGCCTCCTTGCCTGTGTTGGAATTAAAGGTGTGTGCCATCACCGACTGGCCAGCATACTCCTTTTCTGACAATGTTTTGGTATGCAGTCCCGGCTGGCCTCAAATATTGATCCTCCTGCCTCAGATGCCTGTCGCCTCCCTTCATGGACTTTTTCTCCAGAGGATGATCTGAATTCCAGGAGTAATTCTGTGGGTGCTGGCAGGTGACTCCATAAGCATCTGCTGCCCCCCCTCCCTGTATGCCTTGGTTCCCTACGGGTAAGGAAGAATAGCTATCGTGTGCCGAAGACCCTAGTGGCACAGTAGGATGGTAGGGTGACTCCACACACGTGCGCATGCACACACACGCACACACACAGAGTGACCATGCCTGCCCCCTTTCGTCACACTCTATTAGAAAGATTGGATTGCATGTCTTCTCAATTAGACTTTGCTTCTTTAGGGCAGGAAAATATATTTTGTTTTTATGCATGACACACAGTAGCTGCCGAATACTTGCTCATTTTTATGGATGTACCCGGGAGTGAACGCCCGAAAAAAAAATCAGTCCCTTGTGTGTCCTAGGCAATGCAGGGAGAGACAGCAGGGGGTGGATGGCACAAACGGCTTGGCGGCCTGCAGTCACTCAGCTCGCCTGGGCTTTGTGACTCCGCCGTGAGGGGAGGAAATAAGGACTCAGAGAGAGAAGGTGCTTGTCTAATGTCGTACAACTTATTATAGCAGAGCCAGAATTAAGCATTAAGCTCAGGTGTCCTTGACCCGTAGCTTAGGGCACTGGACACACTTCATTGCTTTTCTGGGGCTACTCTAGTGAGGGAGGGAGATCCTCACTGTGCCTCCAGTCTCTGCCCTCTAGAAGTCCTTTCTGGGATCTGACTTCGGGGTCTCCCCTCTCACCCCATTGCATCCCTCCGGAGTCTGGCTCCCGTCTTAACCCGTTATCCCTGGGATGCCAGACTCATTTTCCTCTCCCCAGTCTTCAGCCTCAAGGACTTGAGGATGGGAGAGGGTTGCTGGCTGACTCCCCAGGGCCCTTCCAGCGAGGGCAGCCGGAGAGGAGTTGAGGCTGTGATCTTCCCAGAACCGCCAGGCAGGAGGAAGATGCGGCGAGCAGGGCTGACAGAAGGGTGCGGGGAGCCCCTGTTGCTTCACCCCTTTGGCGGTGTGGCGGTGGTTATTAGGAAGGCTTGGTGAGGGCGGAGTTTGGGGGGGCCGGGGGCGGGGCTCTGCTGCACTGGGAGGAAGAGGGGGGGCGCGCTGGCTCCAGCTCGGCTCAGACAAAAGGCGGCGGCGGGAGCGGGCGGGAGGCGGAGCGGCGCCGCGAGGGCCTCAAGGTGACACCCGCCCCCGGCCCCGGCCCCCCCAGCCCGGCCCCTCCAGCCCGCCCTCCCACCCATCCCCCCCACCTCCGCCCCCCTCCGCGCCCTTTCTAGGCCCCCTCCCCCCGGCGGGGGGTGGGGAGCAGGGAGGGCCCCGCCCCTCGCGCCCCCTCCTCAGGGCCAGCGCAGGATGCCCCCGGCCCCCGGCAGCCCCCCGGGAGGTCCTGAGCTCGACGCGCCCCCTCTTCGCCATGTCCCCCCCTGGCTCGGCCGCGGGAGAGAGCGCCGGCGGCGGCGGCGGCGGTGGCGGCTCCGGGGTCCCGGAGGAGCTCATGGCAGCGGCGGACGAGGGCCCCGCCCGAGAGGAGGTGAGAGCCGGCGGTCCTCGGTGCCCCCGCACGGCCGCGACCCGGCCCCCATCCCCCCGCGCCCCGCACCGTCCCCGCCGGTTCCGCCGCAGAGCGGCCGGCGCCCCGCACCCCGAGCCGGCCGCTGCAGCCGCAGTCCGGCGCCACTGCCCCGACCCGGCGGCCCGCTCGGTCTGCGGTGGCGAGGAAGGGGCCGCGCCGGGGGCGGGGCTCAGGGGGTCCTGGGCAGGGGGAGGGGCCCGGGGCGGAGCCTCGCAGACCCCGGGCTTAGCAGTGAGGGGCTGCGTCGGCCCCCGGATGGGGATGGTGGGCGGCATCCCACCTTGAAGGCCGGGAAGGAGGACCGGAGGGGCTAGGAACCAGGAAGGGTGCCTCGGCCAAGCGATGGTGTCACCAGAGCTAGGACCTCAGGAAGGTCACACGTGAACAGAGGCCATACCCCCTGGGGTCACCGAGCCGGAGTGTGTGTAAGGGGGCTGGCTGTTCACCTCTCTCTCATGCCAGCTGCTCCCCCTAGGGGGCACTAAGCTTAAGAATTTTTGAGTCAGTACTAATAAGCATGTACCTAGTTAGGGTCCTATTTAATTTAAATCTTTTGAAAACTGGAGACAAAGAAACTAAGGGAAGTACTATAAACACCCCCGCCCATTCCTCCCACGCACACTTGTGCACGCCACGCACCTTGCACAAGGGTAGCAGGAGAGTGGGGATAGACTTTCGGGTAGCCCCTTTCAGTGGTACTCACACTGGGACAATCACATGACCAGTAGGGTACACACAGGCACACATGCACCCAGCTTCCAAGGGCACCGTTCCTGAGAGGCAAAGGTGCGGTGTCTTCCTCGTAGGCACAGGTCTGCAGAGATCGAGGGCCTGCTGCTTCTTAGCTGTACACTTGGTTTCCCCTGCTTTCTCTCCTCTCACTGGCTGGTCCCAGGGCCAGGCATGGGGAATTAAAGGGACCAGTCAGCACTGCAGCAGGGTGTGTGTGTGTGTGTGTGTGTATAGATGTGCAACAGTGTACAAAGGGTGGGGATACAGACTGTTTGGACAATCAGACTCGGCCCTCATTGATTACATTCGTGCTGGGTGTCACTTGGGAAGCAAACAGAATGAGACACGGGCCCTGCCCTCAGGAGCACTCCATCTGGTGGGAGAACTAGGCATGTAAACAACCCAGAATGTGCCAAGTGCTAACAGACAGGCCCTGGGAGAGTGTCAAATATCAGTGACAAATGGCTGGGCTTCCAGTGCTTTCTCACCCCCATCGCTCCTCTCCCCAGCCACAGGCCTCTGCCCTTTGGGACAGTGTGAGGGAGCCCCGGGCTTCCTCTCCCATCCTAGAACAGAGGGGAAGACCGTGTGTTTGTTGGGAGGCGGGGTGAACAGCAGGCAGACTCCCATAGGGAAGGTAGGCGGAAGGAGACTGGCCTGGGCTGAGTACCTTCTCCAAAGGAAGTATTAGACTGTCTGTGGGGGGTAGGTGGCTTCTCTAGAACCCAGGGCTGAAAATACTGTTAAGTGGGGGAGACGGTAGCTCCTTCCCTACTTTCCTGGGACAGCTGGGAGAGGTCTGGGTTGGGGACCTACCCTCGCTAATGCCAATTTGTCTCTTCCTTCTTCCCGCCCACACCCTCTCTCGTTTCATCGCCGTCCGTGTCTGTGTTGGCCTCTTTCTGGATTCCATGCTGTCCATCTGTGTCTCTTGATTCCTCGGCCTCCACTTCCGCCTCTTGGGGTATCTCTCTCCCTGCACTTTCCTGTATTGGCACTCTGGCCACTTTTTCTGTCCTCATGGTTCTGTCTGAGTCAATTCTGTGTTTATCTCTGGTCACTGGCTCCCATCTCTCTCTTCCTGTTGCATTGCTGTCTGTAACCCTCGTGCCGGCCTCTGTCTCTCCATCTCTGTGTCCATCTCCGTGCTGGGCCCTGCCATTCTGTCTCCCCTCCCCCTCGTCCTGGCACCCCTCCCTGCCCGTCTAAGCAGCAGCGACCCATCCAGCCCTCTTTCACCAAATCCCTCTGCCGTGAGTCCCACTGGAAGTGCCTCCTGCTCTCGCTGCTCATGTATGGCTGCCTGGGGGCAGTGGCTTGGTGCCATGTCACCACAGTGACCCGCCTCACCTTCAGCAGCGCCTACCAGGGCAATAGCCTCATGTACCATGACAGCCCCTGCTCCAACGGCTATGTCTACATCCCGCTGGCCTTCCTGCTCATGTTGTACGCGGTGTACCTGGTGGAGTGTTGGCACTGCCAAGCCCGCCATGAGCTGCAGCACCGGGTGGATGTGAGCAGTGTTCGGGAGCGTGTGGGCCGCATGCAGCAGGCCACCCCCTGCATCTGGTGGAAGGCCATCAGCTACCACTATGTGCGGCGGACTCGCCAGGTCACCCGGTACCGCAATGGAGATGCCTACACCACCACCCAGGTGAGCGACTAGAGGTGAGTGCAGGCTGTTCAAGAAGAGAGAGGTTGCTTGGATTGCCTGCCTTTCTCCCTGCTTGTGAGGGAGCATGAGATAGCGGCGAGCCCCCATGGGCACCCGGTAGTAACAGCAAACACCAAAAGAGCCAGGCTCTAGGCACTTTTCGGATTTTAAACCGTTTAATTAATCCTGACAGCAAACCTATGAAGTAGGTGCATCCCCATTTTCAAAAGGAGCAAACGGGTGTGTGCGTGGTTAAAAACAAACAAACCTGTCCAAGGTCAGTCGGTAAGTGAGGAGATGGGCCTCAGGCTCAAGCTGGCTGCCTCCAGGTTGGAGTCTGCTCAGTGCTTCATGGCTGCAGATGGTTTCACATGTCTATCTTAACTTGTTCAGTGAAGTAATTATTACTGAATACTTATTCACAGCTAAGGAGACCTCAGCTCAGACTTGCCTGAGGTCGCTTCTACTTGGCAGTGCTAGACTTAAACCCAGGTCTCTGGATCTCAGCCCAAGACTCTTAGAGGAGGTGGGTGTGCGTGGTACAGAGTTTTCAGGGCAACCACCACTTACCGTATTAAACCCATTGGGGCTGGGAGAGGAAGGGGGAGGAGATGATGATGGAGATGATCCCAGGTAGAGTGACTTCCGTCTCAGTATTAGGATGGGTAGACAAAAGCCTTGCGACTCCAGCCTCCTCCTGCGCGCTGCAGGTCTATCACGAGCGTGTCAACACACACGTGGCAGAGGCCGAGTTCGACTACGCGCGCTGTGGCGTCCGGGACGTGTCCAAGGCGCTGGTGGGGCTGGAGGGAGCGCCGGCCACTCGGCTGCGCTTCACCAAATGTTTCAGCTTCGCCAGCGTGGAGGCGGAGAACGCTTACCTGTGCCAGCGCGCACGCTTCTTCGCCGAGAATGAGGGCTTGGATGACTACATGGAGGCGCGAGAGGGCATGCATCTCAAGAACGTGGACTTCCGCGAGTTCATGGTGGCCTTCCCCGATCCGGCCCGGCCACCCTGGTACGCCTGCTCGTCGGCCTTCTGGGCCGCAGCGCTGCTCACGCTGTCGTGGCCGCTGCGCGTGCTGGCCGAGTACCGCACAGCGTATGCGCACTACCACGTGGAGAAGCTCTTCGGCCTGGAGGGGCCAGGCTCAGCCAGCAGCGTGGGCGGTGGCCTGAGTCCCAGCGACGAGCTGCTGCCCCCGCTCACTCATCGCCTGCCGCGGGTCAACACGGTGGACAGCACCGAGCTCGAGTGGCACATCCGTTCCAATCAGCAGCTGGTACCCAGCTACTCGGAAGCGGTGCTCATGGACCTAGCTGGGCTGGGCGCGCGCTGCGGCGGGGCAGGGGGCGGTGGCTACGCGCCCACCTGTCGCTACGGCGGGGTGGGTGGCCCGGGCGCGGCGGGCGTGGCCCCATACCGGCGAAGCTGCGAGCACTGTCAGCGAGCGGTCAGCAGCTCGTCCATCTTCTCGCGCAGTGCGCTGAGTATCTGCGCCAGCCCGCGGGCCGGCCAGGGGCCCGGAGCCAGTGCTGGGTGCGGGGGCAGTCGCTTCTCGCTCGGTCGCCTCTATGGCTCTCGGCGCAGCTGCCTGTGGCGTAGCCGGAGCGGGAGTGTCAACGAGGCGAGCTGCCCCACGGAGCAGACGCGTCTGTCGAGCCAGGCCAGCATGCGGGACGACGAGGACGAGGACGACGAGGAGGAGGCCGGTCCGCCGCCGCCCTACCACGATGCCCTCTACTTCCCTGTCCTCATCGTCCATCGCCAGGAGGGGTGTCTGGGCCACAGCCACCGGCCACTGCACCGCCATGGCTCCTGCGTGGAGACCTCACTGTGACCTTCTGCCCTTGGAGGGAGCCTGCACTGCTCTCCCTCCTGCCCCTCGATGTGTTGTGCTCCCTGTGTGTAGCAGGGGAAGGCAGGATGGTGACTGAAGCCAGGCGGGGTATGCGTGAAGGCAGAAGCTGAGAGGCACGCCCAGACAAGACCCCAGTGGGCCTGAGACTGCTGCTCAAGGATGGGGAGGCTGGCAACTCGCTGAGAATCCCACCCACCGGGGCAGAGGTGGCTCTCTTCCAGTCCCCACCGAGTTCCTACGGGGACACTTCCTTTTCCACGCACTCGAGGTTTCCCGCCCAGGCTTTCATTGAGTTTTGACTGTTACTAGGCAACTATGATGAGAGACCCGTGTTTTGGCCTCTCCACCAAGGAAGTCACCAAGGCAAGCCGCAGGGAGGGCATTTGGGGCTTTTTTTTTTTTTTTTGGCCTCGTCCCACCCGGTCCCCTGTGGGGGTGGGGAGCGGTGGTCAGGTGAAGAGCAGCAGGCTTGGTTTCCAACCAGCTACTGAGTTCCCTGGGTGTGAGGATGGGGCCGCTGGCAGCCCAGTATTCCTTCCTACACCTGGAAAACGCGGTGGCCTCTTGGTGCTGGCGGAGAAAGCTTGGCGGTTCCTTTCCACCTCTTCCAACACTGTTGTTTATTTCCCTGGGCCCCAGAGGTCCGGTCCTAGAGGGACTTTACATCACAGCAATGACGTCACTCACCACCTCGGGGCTTACCAGCTGTTGTTAGGGTGCAGGGGGAGGGAAGGGAAGCTGGCGAGGGCATGCACCGGCCCTTTCTGGAAAAGGCCCAGCCTCCCATCAATCAGAAGCTTCCCCCTTGGGCTCGCTTGCGCGCGCACCGCTCTCTCTCTCTCTCTCTCTCTCTCGGTAGGTAGGTGCTTCCATTAGGAGGCTAAGGTGCCAGAGGCCCTCATTAAAGTTGGCCAGGGTGAGTGACCACGTGGACTGGAGCTTGAGACACACCTTGGAGTCAAGAGAACTCAGTCGGCGGGTGGAGAGAAATGAGTTGGTAATGGTGCATGGAGCGAAACCGGCTCTGAAGGGGTGGCGGCGTAGCTTTTCCTCTGGAATGTGCATAAGAATTACGTACCTTACACAGCCTGGGTGTGGAGCCCAGCTCATCACAAGCCTAGCTGGAGAGGTACTCAATTCCAGTGGCAGGAGATCAATTCTTGCCAGACCCTCCACTCCCCTTATCCTGTGAGCTGGAGTACTAAGTCTTCAGAGGGGCATCATGCCACAGCCCCAGGGCACCAGCTCCTGTCCTGTCCTTTCAGAGCTTTGACCCAGACTTTGCTCTGCCACTCCCCCTACTCCCATACCCCTCCCACCCCTCCGTGCTTCCTTGTGCATGTCTGTGTTTGGCCCCTTGCTCTTCCGGCTGCCCTGGCTGAAGTTTCAGACTTAGCGCCCAGGCCTTGGGCTCACCTCCATCCGGTATTGCTCCCTCTGCTTCTTGCTTTGCAAACTTCATCAGAACTCCATCTCCTTGGCCTCCCCTCTTCCTCCTGGCTGTGCCACGCCTACACCAACCAATGGGAGTGGCCCCTACCTATGCAACATCTCTTCTGGCTCCCTGTCCCTTCTTCCCAGGGGGATGTGGGGATGCTATGATCTATAGTCAAACGGGGGCTGAGCTTTCTAACCATATAGAGATGGTTGGGTGAAGAGGGAGGGGTGTCAGAGAGAGAGGTGTGGGCAGATGGGATCAGCGTAGCTGTCCGCCAGGGTTCCCTGGCAGAAATGTCCACCAGCCTGCCAGCACTGAACCCTCTAGGACCCTGAGTTTCGAGTTTGCCCGTGTGTGGGGGCGGCTTGGCTGTTGGAGCACCCTGCTTTCCCTTGAGCAGACATCTGCTGAAGCACAGGTGGTGGGGAGCTGTGGCCTTGGGTCCCAGCTCTTGGCCAGCTGGCACCTGGGTGGCTTGTTCTCATTTAGGGGCAGCCTGGTCACCTCACAGCCCCAAGGAAGGACGGACTTGGCTCACTCTCTGTCATGCTGGGTCCAGAGACAGAGCTTGGCCTTGGGGGAGGAGGAGGGGGAGGAGTCCTGTTATTATTCTTGCCTGACCATTTCTGCCTAGGTCTTTTCATACAGACGGCCTCACCTCCCACACATGCTCAGACTTAGAGAGAAAGCAATTCTTTGGTCTCTTTTCTTGGTAGCTTTATTGATTGCCAGGGAAAATGAAAACCAGAAAATTAATTAATCTCTAAAATTAAACTTTACACTGAATGTTCTTGTTTCTCTAATTAGAACCTCTGCTAGCAGCTGTGGCTACACACACTCACACCTACATGTTTGCACTCTGGAACTGTCAGAGGGTGTCAGGCGCAGATGACTCTAGGGTGCCCGGACAGGCACACACATAGTCACTCCCAAGCCCCCTCTGGTGCTCTGCTCCGCGTCTGCTTGTTGCAAAGAGTCCCTGGAGTGCAGGCCCTCCTGGATTGCAGCTGCAGTTCAGTCACCCATCTTTAGGATAGGTGGGCTCTGGGCCACTCAGCTCAAGGAGAGTTGGGAGATAAGGGGCTTGGCCTGAACTGGTCAGTCGGATCCTCTCGTGGATTCATAGGCTGATGTCATTCCTATGGGTGCAGCCCCAGGGTGGGCAGTCACAGAGTTGACAGGGACTCATGGAGGGTACCTGGAAGGCTGTATGTCCTGAGGATAAGGGCTTGTGGGGTGGGCTGGGCCTGGCTCGGGAGAAGACAGATGTCTGTCAAATTGGGTGCATCACACTGTGGCCTTTTTGTCATGGAATTCCAAGCGCAAAGATTGTACAAATCACACTGGTGGATAATAAAAGTGTGGATGACTCACTGATTCACCTCCTCAGAGTGACACTTATTCCCTGCCTTTGTTAGCAGGTTTCTGTGTCTGAGCCTCTCTCTCACTTGCGACCCCCACCCAGCTTGAGAATTAGCGATCTGTGGAAGTGGAGTACAGTACACCAGGGCCATGACAGGCAGGTGGCATCTTCAGGCAGGGTGGGAGAGCAGAGAGATAGGCATAACTTTGTGGTGTGTGCGTGCGCGTGCGTGCGTGCGTGCGTGTGTGTGTGTGTGTGTGTGTGTGTGTGTGTGTGTGTGTACTGAGGTCAGAGCTCCAGGGTCTGCTTAGCAGAAAGGGAAGGAGGTGAGGGAAAGAGATGGGTAAGTCAAGAGGAAGATGGTGTTCGTGAAGAGTTTGGGCAGGGATGGTCTCTTTAGAGTCCTTTGCCTTCCCTGTTCCTGGAAGCTCATCATTTATACAGGTCTAGTATGGTCATTTTCCAGGTGCAGGAGTTAGTTTACCATCTCTTCATCCTTAGGCTACTTTCCCTACCTCAGTATCTTCACTCATGTAAACTCATTCCAAGTAGACTCCTGATTCCCCTCTTCTGCCTTCCTCAGAACCAGGGACAGGCAGAGCAAAGGTGTGAAAAGAAGGTATGGCTGCCACAGTGACCCATCAGATCACTGTTCTAGGCCTGTCACCCATCTTAGCCTACAGAATGCTCAGGACTGTTGTTAGTGATGGGTGACATGTAGTGGCCAGGATTCAGGGTCCGCTGGCGGGCGGCCTCTCGGTTGGCATGTAGAACCTGGCCAATGAGGTACTCACTCTCCTGGGATACATCTGACAGACGCAAGTCAAACTCCAGAATGGTCTTGTTGTCCGACATGCCTTCCAGGAGCTGCTTCCCACCATCCTGGGTAGGGATGAGGCAGAGGGGTCATTTTTCATTATATCCCAGGATCAGAGGCACACACACTGCCAAACAGGTGGGATACCTTTTGCAAAGCCACATGTAACCTATCTGTTCGGGACATGGATCTGGGAGGAAAGCACTCTCGTGTGCAAGCATGAGGACTGCAATTAGGATCTCCAGAATCCATGGAAGTGCTGAGTGGGCATAGCAGCCCACTTGTCACTATTGGGCGAGAGACAGGATCTTTACAGCAAGCCAGCAAACAAGACCTGTCATTTCAGAGAGCTCTGGGTTTGCCTGAGAGACATGCCTCAGTGAATAAACGAGGCGGAAGAGCAATTGAGGATGATTCCTGGTGTCTACTGAGTCTCTACATGCATGCTCGCATGCTCATACATGCAAAAACACATATGCATGCATGTATACCACGGACACACGGAAATGAAAGGAAAAAGAATGGGCTCCGGAGTGCACACAGCAGTGCACCACACAGTCTAATGCTTCCTTGCAAGGGCAGTTGGATTCCACCCCAGGCCCACCTGCACCAGAAGCCACGACTCACCAGCCCGATGTGGTTGCAGGAGAGGTTGAGGCTGATGAGTGTGGTGTTCACTGGGAGCACCTGGGATAGGAGTGTGGCCGTGGGCTCAGACAGCTCATTGCCGCCCAGGTGAAGCGTGGTGAGGCACTTGTTGGTTTCCAGGGCATGGGCAATGGCTTGGCCGCCCTCGTCCTCGATGCAGTTGAGGCGGAGGTTGAGGGAGACCAGGTTGGTGTTGTGTGCCAGGGCATGAGCCAGCGACTGTGCCCCAGGAGCGCGGATGTGATTGTTGGCCAGGTTGAGCACTCTCAGGCGACTGTGGCTCAGCAGTTTGGCTGCTGCGCGAGCACCGCGGTCTCCAATGAGGTTGTGGGACAGGTCCAGCTCCTCAAGGGCTGGGTGGTCCAGGAGGTGTCGGATTAGGATGCGTGCCTTATCATCATCCACCTTACTTCGGGTCAGCCTGAAGATCTGCGGGCAGGTAGGAGTTTTATAGCATCTGCCAGTCTAGGATAGCCTGCACTGCCTAATTGCCCTGTGCTGGTAAAGAAGGAAGACACAAGGTGGCTGGAGGCTCAACACTTGGTCTTGGTCACCTGCCTGACTTTTAAATGGGAGGAAGAGTTACTCAATGATGGAGACTTGGTGGCAGGTGGCAGTGGGGAACGGTGTCACCACGCCCAGGCCAGTCTATGTTTTCTGCATTTTTTTTTTTTTTTGGTTTTTTGAGACAGGGTTTCTCTGTGGCTTTGGAGGCTGTCCTGGAACTAGCTCTTGTAGACCAGGCTGGCCTCGTACTCACAGAGATCCACCTGCCTCTGCCTCCCGAGTGCTGGGATTAAGGTGTGCGCCACTAACGCCCAGCTCTGCATTCTTTTGACCAAGCAACGGACAGTGAAAACACTCTCCTATGTCTCTGACTGGTATCGCAGAAACTCCCAGTACAGTGTTCCAATCCAACCGTATTTCTCTGGACAATAAATCTTCCTATAGTCTTTGACAAATTTGAACCTTTTCCTGCCTCATCACATGCCAGCATTCCTACAAGCCCCCTCTCCACTGATGGCCTCTTTTCCTGGCCACTAAACAAGACCCCACTTTTCTTGATACCAATGCAGACATCCACAGCCACTCACCATGGCCCCTTCAGGTCTCGGCCCCAGCGAGAGACGCCCCTGACCCACGAGCCCCTCTCCTGTGTACAACTGATGGTTTTCTTGCTGTTAGGTCCAGCGAGAGACACTTGCCACTTCCTCTACAGAGACCCAGGTCCCTCACCCACTCAGCTCTGCTCCCCACTGCACAGCTAAGCTCTTGGCAGACCTGACCCCAGCCACCTTCCTCCTACTTCCTACTCTCCCCATGTCCACAAGCTGCCCAGCTTGTGCTTCAGGGACCCTCTGAAGCACCCCACTCCCGGGGACCTCCCAGGCCACGAGGTCAGTCCTGGGCTCCATCCTACTGTATGGCTCACATCTTCTGTTGGAAACACGCCCTATCTGTGACACAATGTCATGTCCTCTTCCCCCTCCTCTCTTTCCGTCAGCATCACGTGTCAGGCTTCTCTTTGCCTCCCCTTTGGCTCCTCCTTCCTAGACTCCATCCCAATGTAAGGCCACACTTAAAGACACAGTTTTCAAAGCTCAACTTAGATTTCTTCCCCCAGCATCAGATCCTCTCTGCCCGGCTATCGCGATGACCTCTGCTCTGGGCCACCTCAAGCTGGAACTCATGCTTTTCTCCCCCAGGATAGTCCTCCTATTCTATCCCTTGTCTGCCAACGCTTCCCACAGCATCTGGTCTCATGAGAAGGAGCCTCGACACCTCTGCCTCTTTCTTCCTGTCTTCATCCTCCTTGAGTCGCAGTGGCAGGTGATCTGACTGTCTATCTCCCCAGACGCTCTGCTTCATCCGTCTTTCAGATGTGGCTGTGATTCTAACTACCCTTATGTTTTTGGGGGGATGGAGAGAAGGGGACAGGAACACAGCTTAGAGCCATCTGACAAGAGAGACTCACTTGATAACCTAGATCAGATTGGCTGGGAGAACGTCTGTGTGCGACTGTCTTTAGAGTTACTTGATGTAGGAGGGCACAGCCCACCGTGGGCAGCACCATCCATACCCAGGTCCTCCTGAACTGGATGAGAACGCTAGCCAAGGGGCTGGAGGGTTATAGCCAGTACCGCTCTTGCAGAGACCCAGAGTTCAGTTTCTAGTACCCACGTCAGGTGGTCAGTAATTCCAGCTCCAGGGAATCGGATGCCCTCTGTTGGTTTCAGTGGACATCTGAGCTCATGTGAATGTACCCTCTCATACATATAATTTATAATAAAAATAAACCTAAAAAGTCGGGCGGTGGTGGCGTACGCCTTTAATCCCAGCACTCGGGAGGCAGAGGCAGGTGGATCTCTGTGAGTTCGAGGCCGGGCTGGACCAACAGCCTCCAAAACAATACAGAGAAACCCTGTCTCGTAAAAAACCAAATAAATAAATAAACGTAAAAAAGAAATAAAAAGCTGGTCTGTGAGCCAGCATGCAAGCAGCATTCCTCCATCTCAGCATGCTGATGCTGGACTTCTTCTAGCTGTGAAGTGAGTTCCTCGGTAGGAGGCAATGCTATGCGGAATAGTTCAAGTTCCTGCCCTGACTTCCTTCAATGACTGACTTTGACCCGGAAGTGGGAGCCAAATCCCATTTCTCCCCTAAGTTGTTTTGCTCAGAGTGTTTTTTTTATCACAGCAGCATTAAGGACACCAGAACAGTCTTACATAACCCAGGCTGGCCTTGGACTTGGTATGTAGCCAAGGATAACCCTCCTGCTTCTGCCTCCCGAGTGCTTGGATCACAGGTGTAAGCCACCACGCCTGGCTCATGAGGTGCATGAGCTCCGTTCCCAGCCCCAACCTTCCACTGTATCTGCACTGGCAATGCTCTCCTGGGTGACCTGCCGTGTCCACTGTATCTGCACTGGCAATGCTCTCCTGGGTGACCTGCCGTGTCCACTGTATCTGCACTGGCAATGCTCTCCTGGGTGACCTGCTGTGTCTACTGTGGCTCTGTCCAGGCCATTCTCTTTCACAATCACAGTGGCTTTTTCCATATGTACAGTCCAAATCCCTTGGATGGCACTTTACTTTGGATGAGGTAGGCAGCCCCCTCTCCTGCTGCCACAAAGATCCTTGTGCTAAAGCTTGGTCCCCGGGCTGGAGAGATGGCTCAGAGTTTAAGAGCACTGACTGCACTTCCACGGGTCCTGAGTTCAGTTCCCAGCAACCACATGGTGGCTGACAACCATCTGTAATGAGATCTGGTGCCCTCTTCTGGCCTGCAGACATACATGGAGGCAGGATGTTGTATTCATAATAAATAAATCTTTAACAACAACAACAACAACAACAAAAAAGCCTGGTCCCCTATGTGATCCGGAGAGGGGGTGGGGTCTCCGAGAGGTAGGGCCTGCTGGGATGCAGCCAGGTCACCAGGAACGCAGCCCTTGGAGGAGACTGGTGGTGATCTCTAGTGGTTTGCTTGCTTGCTCTCTTTCGCACGTCTTTTTCTTCCTGCTTTTCTACCATTGGTGGAGGGGGAATACCAGAGCTGGCATTGTGTGGCCCGTGAGTCCCTTCAGCCACCAGAATCTAAGCCAACTATGCTTCTCCCTCTCCCCCTTCATGTTTTCTGTTTTATTTTTTTAAAAAAAGATTTTAAAGCACGCTATTAATTGTGCTGTGTCTGTGTGGGTATGTGGGAGGCTAGAAGAGAATCGGATCCCCAGAGCTGGAGTTCCAGGCATCTACAGCCGGTGTGGGTGCTGGGAACTGAACTAGTGCCTTCTGCTAGAGCAGTGTGTGCTCCTAACCACTAACCTCCTCTTTGTGTTTCTAGGACAGGGTTTCCTATAGTCAACTATGGTCTCCCACCTCACCATGTAGCCAGGGATGGCCTTGCCCTTTCCAGCATCCTATCTCCAACTGCAGAATGCTGGTATTACAGACAGGAGTCAACGCAGTGTGGGTGATCCAACCTCGGGCTTCGAGCATGTGAGGCAAACACTCCAGCAACTGACCTGGAGTGCTGGGAATTGAATCCCCAGACTCGGGCCTGCTAAGCATAGGTTCTGACTGCAGCCTCAGGCTGAGCATGTCCCATGTGTCCAGCATCTTATCTTGTTGCTATGATAAAACGCCTAACACGGGCAGGTTAAGGAAGAAAGTGGTTATTTGGCTCTTGGTTTTGAGAGCAGAGCTCATCATGATGGGGACACAGCATCAAGAGGCTCGGCTGTGTGAAGAGAGATGAATTTAAGTGTGGCGTCCTCAGCTCACCAGCTTCTGCAGTCAGCCAACAGGCCCTGTCCCCGGTGCTGAAGATGCAGAAACAGCAAAATTACACCATTTGTGCCCTGTGGAGCCAGCAGTCTGGTGGGATGAAAGGCACTAATGAGCAGTGATATAAATGTAAAATTGCAGCTAGGCTGCGGCTTCCAGATTTCACAAATAGAAACACGAGACGTCCATCCAGTTAAATTTGAATTCAGATAAAAACCACAGTGTTTGGATGCATAGCCCAAACATTACATGGAGCATACCTGTTTGTCTGAAAATTTCAGTATAACCAGTGTGATGGTTAACATTGCCAACCACAAGATCTAGACTAATCTACAGATAAACCTTTGGGCATGTCTTTGGAGTATTATCTAGTTAAACAGCTACTTAAATTACCTAATTAGGCTTTTTTTTTCATTTCCCCAGGAGACAGGGTTTCTCTGTGTAGCTCTGGCTATCCTGGAGTTCACTCTGTAGACCAGGCTGACTTCAAACTCAGAGATCCTCCTGCCTCTGTCTCTCTAGTGCTGGGATCAAAGGCGTGCACCAGTACCACCCTGTTTATCTAGTTGAACTTCAACCATAGATAGGGCTATCCTGGACTGAATAAAAGGGAGACTACTGCTCCACGATCTCTGTCTGGCCAGCTCCTCAAGCCCCTGCCACCATGGCTACCCGCCACGATGAACCATGCCCTCGGAACTGTAGCTAAATGACCCCTTCCCTCTTTAAGTTGCATCTGCCAGGTGTTTTAATCATAGCAATAAGACAAGTGAGTGATGGCCGGGCGTTGGTGGCGCACGCCTTTAATCCCAGCACTTGGGAGGCAGAGGCAGGTGGATCTCTGTGAGTTCGAGACCAGCCTGGACTACCAAGTGAGTTCCAGGACAGCCTCCAAAGCCACAGAGAAACCCTGTCTCAAAAAACCAAAAAAAAAAAAAAAAAAAAAAGACAAGTGAGTGATACAACTAGCTATCCTGCTGCAGTAGTGCTTTTTAAACTTTTTCCAGTGGCATGGCCAGACCCAGGGCCGCACACATGCTGAGAACATTCCTTGCCTCTGAGCTGCACCCATAACCTGGACAGTTTCCATCTTGATCGGTCCTCCGAATCACATAGAGTAGGTGTGGTGTAGCCTGTAATCCCAGCACTCTGGCATGTTTGGGTGTGCTATCATGCATGTGTACATGTATGCGCAGTGGAGGGGGGAGGGTCAGAAATTCAAGGTCATTTTCAGCTACCAGTGAGTTCCAGGCCAGCCTAAGCTATATGAGACCTTCCCTGTTTCAAAAAAAATCAGCTGGTTTTTTTTTTAAACGCCTTTAATCCCAGCACTCAGGAGGCAGAGGCAGGCCAATCTCTGCGAGTTCCGGGTCAACTTGGTCTACAGAGGGAGATCCAGGACAGCCAGGGCTACACATAGAAACCCTGTCTCAAACAAAACAAAGCAAGTTTCCAAAAACCCAAACACCATACAATCCCTTTCTCTATTGGTAAATGAAAAGGAAATGGGAGGAGATAGGAGAGGAAGAGGCAGAGAGAAGCAGTCCTAGAGGCGCTGAAAAGGGGGGCAGGTGAGTTGGGGGTGTGGTACCTTGAGGGTGTGGCAGGCTTTGATGGTGGCTGCCAGGGAGTAGCAGTCTCGAAAGGTGAAGAGGAAGAGGTTCCACTCGAAGTTCATGCCGCAGTCTTTGACGCCGTATACCAGGTCCAGCTCCTCCAGGCACTTGAGGCCAGCCACCAGGGCGTCCAGCTGGTAGTGGTCCTTCTCAGGTTCATTCCCCTCTCCCTCGCTGCCAGAGTCGGACTGATCCTCAGTCTGGGGCGGGGTTGGCAGCCGCACAGGCGGGAGGAACTGATCCACCTGGATGCGGCGCACATAGTTCCTGCAGAGGGGCAGCAGGTCCAGGATCACGTTGGGGTCCGTGGTACCTGGGATGTAGAGCTTCAGCAGGTTCTCCAGGTGTCTCTCGAAGAACATGCGCTTCCAGCTGCCGCCATGCTTGGCCACGTGGCACACGGGCCAGCGCTTGACGCAGCACCGATGCCAATAGTTCTCATCATCAATCAAGTTGGCAGTCACCTTCAGGGGCAGGTCAGGGGGCAGGTGGCTCAACACTTTCTGCTGGTGCTCTGGGAGCAGCTGCTTCAGGATAGGGTTGTCTTTGGGAACGGAGGAAGAAAAACAGGGTTCAGCCTCAGGGTTGCGAATATCACAACATGGCTGCCCAGACACACGGAGGAAAGAAAGGGAAGGAAGGCCCTCTGTGGTCTCGGTAGTTTGCTCTGAGAGGAGAAACGGTCTCTCACACAGACAGTCTTTGCACCAGGCGGTATCTGGTCCTGCCTGGGGAGGAATGGACAGAATCTCAGGGCTGGACCCCAGTATTATCTAATCTGCTGGGAGCTACAGCTAGCTTCTGAGATGTCCAGTCAGACTTCAGCCATTCATTTCAGAACTACTACATGCACTTTAACACCTACTATGTGTCAGATGCGGCTGGAAAAAAGAAATGAAGGGGCCAGAAAGATGGGTCAGTGAGTAAACAATGCTTGCTGAGCAGAACTGGTGACCTGAATTCTACCCCAGGTATCACTCGGAGGTGGAAGGAGAGACTGACTCATAGGGTTGTTTTCTGATCGGCACATGCGTACTGTTGAGTGCCCATCTCTGCCTCTTGATCTCACACACACCAATACATTTTAAAAATGGCCAGGGGATGGAGGCAGCATTGGCATATGCCTTTAATCCCAGCACTTGGGAGGCAGAGGCAGGAAGATCTCTGTGAGTTCAAGGCCAGCCTGGTCTACAGAGTGAGTTTCAGGACAGCCAGAGTTACACAGAGAAACCCTGTCTCAAAGAGAAAAAAAAAAAAACAAAGAGAGAGAGAGAGAGAGAGAGAGAGAGAGAGAGAGAGACAGAGAGAGAGACAGAGACAGAGAGAGAGGAGAGGGAAGGGAAACAGACATGTCTCTGGCCTCTGGAGTTCATGGTCAATAAACAACAGAGGAACATGCCTTGCTAGGTGACCAGTTCTCAGGAAGCCCTAGTCCCACAGAGTAGGAAACGCCTGCTACTTTTCTCTAGAAAGACTAGAGCACAGAGGACACCAGGTACCCATCTCCATCCTGGAAGATCTATCAGATGGGAGATTAGAACTGGAGAGCTTTCTGGAGGAAGGAAAGGAAGATGTGGCCAAGACTGAACTTAGTGGAGAGAGCAGATGTGACCAGAGAAGGGCAAAAGCATGGAGGGCACAGCGGATGTGCGCATGTGTGCGCGTGTGCGCGTGCGTGCGCGTGTGTGCCTGTGGTGGGGACACCTCTGATGCTGGATGGAGTGGATTTGAGAGTCCCCCTCCTGCAGCCCAGGGCAGATGAACTCACTCTGGAAGTTCTTGACGATATGTTGGATGCAGAGTTCTGTAAGGAGTGGTACGATGGCCAGCGACCACTCGGCGTCCTCAGAGATGATCCGGCGCATGCGCCGGACATTTGTGGTCTTGGGCTTCAGATGGGCTGGGGCAGGGCTGGGGTTAGATTTCAAGGTTGGAGGCAGTGAGCTGGCACCACCTCCAGCGGAGGGCTGGTGCTGGATGTTGTACATGGACGTGTGAGACCCGGCGGCTGATGACGTTGCTGGGGTCTCAAGCATGTTGGCTGTGGGCGAGGCAACTTGTTACAGGAAGCTTCTCAACCTGGAAAATCCTTGGTTCAGGCGGGATGCGAGATGGGGTCGTGGCTTGAACGAAAGGAAGAGGGACAGTGTTACTTGGGGGAAGTGAAGGGTGGTGCTTGGGGGTCAGTTTCTGGAGGGGACTGGACCCACATGAGAAGCTCAGAGACTGGGTGTATGGTTTTGGGTAAGTGACCAAATTTCAGATGATGCCCTCTGTGAAGTGAGGGCAGGCAGTAGCTAGCCAATAGGGTTACTAGAGGAGGTGACAAAGTAGTGTAGCCAGAGGGCCACAGTGTATGCAAGGAGCCGCCCCAAAGTTTAGGTAATAGTTACTTGGCAACTATAGTCATTGCTGTGCACTAGGTTTGGATATTAACTCGTTTGTCATAAAAGGGGAGACTGGAGAGGTGGTTCTGAGCAGTTAGGTTCAATTCCCAGTACCCATATGGCAGTTCGCAACTGTTTGTGACCGCAGTTCCGGGGCATCCAATACACTAACATAGACATGCCTGAAAAAACACCAATACACATAAAATTAAATTAATTTTTTAAAAAACCTTTTGGAGACAAGAACTCATTTTCATCATTTTTTCCCCAATGAAGAGGTCACTGACTTGCTCAATGTTGCACAGCTTACACTGAACAAGAAAAAACTTTTTTAAAGGTGTGTGTGTGTGTGTGTGTGTGTGTGTGTGTGTGTGTGTGTGTACAGAGGACAGAAGAGGGCCCTGGCTTTCCTAGGCACCGTAGTTGAGGCAGTTGTGAGCATCTGACATGGATGCTGAGAACGGAATTCGGTCCCTCTCCAGGAGCGGGCAGCAAGTGCTCTTGACCACTGGGTCACCTCTCCAATCCCCTTAAGACTGGACTAACTCAGTTTCTCAAGTCATATTCTGGATTGTTCCTGCACTGCCTCATCTAATGGTGAGTGTGAGGATACGGAATGCCAGGAGAGAGCTGTAGCGAACAACTATTTACCTCCAAAGCTCCCTGCTCCCAGATGACTGAGGACACTGGCCAACAGAGTCTGATGGGGGCCTCATATGCTGCTTTGTCTCTGTATTTCTTTATTTTGAGGCAAGGTCTCGGCTTTCCCAGGCTGGCCTCCAAGCTGCTATTGCTGTGTAGCAGGAATGACCTGGACCTGCTGTTTCTTCTGGCTGTGCCTCCCGAACCCTGGGGTTATGATGTCATCAGTGCAGTTACACTTGATCACATCCAGTGAACCCAGTGCTGTGGATGGAACCAGGGCTTCGTGCTCACATCAGGCAAGCACCCTACCAACTCAACCAAACCACCAGTCCCTGTCTGTAAACTTTCCAGCATCCACATTTAAAGAGGAAACAGAGGGGCTGGAGAGATGGCTTGGCAGTTAGAGCCCTGGCTGCTCTTCCAGTAGAATTGGGTTTGATTCCCAGCGCCCACATGGTGGCTCACACCTTCTGTAACTCCAGATCTAAGGGATCTGACCTCTTCCCTGGTCTCCAAGGGCACTTTATGAACGTGGTGTGCACGCAGCATGCATATAAAAACAATTGTTGTCCTGGAACTTACTCTGTAGACCAGGCAGGCCTTGAACTCACAGAGATCTTCCTGCCTTTACCTCTTGAGTACTGGGATTACAGGTGCTCTGCTCCAGCCACCACCACCAACCAGAAACTTTTAAATAGGGAAAGAAAGCCTTGAGTGGAGCTGGGGGGTGGGGTAGCTCAGTAGCAGTGCTTGCCTAGCACCCGCAGCTAAAAACAAAACCCCAAAAAACAGGAAAAGCAAAATAAAACAGAAGCCCAAAACAGGTGAAATTAATTTTATAATTAACCCAGTGTGCCCAAAATATTATCATTTAAATGTGTAATTGGTGTACAGTGTTTTTAAAAGTAAAAAACAAAAAACAAATCGGTGAAATTTACAATTAATGTAGTATGCTCAAAATATTATCATTTAAATGTGATCTGTATACAGTCTATTTGATATTTTGGTTTATTATTTAAGTGTACATGTGTCTTCATACAAGAGAGCGAGTGCATTTGGATGTTCATGGAGCCAGAGAGAGGGTCAGACCCCCGGGAGCTGGAGTTGAGTATGAGCCAGAGGCCGGTGCAGTGAACCAGGCATGGGTCCCCCAGAAGGCCTGTCAGTTAGACTCTCAACTGCCCAGTCAGCTCTTCACGCCTCTGTGCAAAGGATTTGGATGGGAAGGACAGGCACGTTTGCGTTCACATCAAATCTGAGCCTGTGGCCTCCATTCAGAAGGGGGCCAGAAGACACAAGTTTGACCAGGGTGTAGATGCCTCTCCTCATACCCTTCACTCCCGCCTGGCTCCTACTTCAGTCTCCCCCATACCAGACCGAGGCGGCGGCAGCAGGCAGGCGCGGGAGGCGAGAAGGCAGCTAAACATGAGGCTGCAGACAGAAGACCGAGGATGCTGTCTGGGCCTGGAAGCCTTCTGCGTGTGGTAGGTCACCTGTTTACCCACCTGCTGCAGGCACCCTGCCAGTGACCTGGAGGCAGAATGGGGTGTCTGGGCCCTCTGCCCCTCTGGGGAGCTTCCCTTTGTGCTGCGGCCAGTGAGAGAGAAGAGAGAGAGAGAGAGAGAGAGAGAGAGAGAGAGAGAGAGAGAGAGAGAGAGAGAGAGAGAGAGAGAGCACCCTCCTCCAGCAAAGACATCCTTGTTGGCAGAGGGAGGGACCAGATGGTTGGTACTCCCTAGCCTGCCAGGCAGCTCAAGGAGGAAAAGTCTGGGGAGAGGAGCACTGTAGGGAAGATATTTATGTATTGTGTTATCCTGTATGCAAATCGAATGCAAATTCACAAACTGTCCATCTTCAAGTAAAGCCTTTAATCCCAGCGCTTGGGAGGCAGAGGCAGGTGGATCTCTGAGTTTGAGGCCCAGCCTGCTCGACATGGTGAGTTCCAGGAAAAAAAAAAAGGACAGAGCTGAAGGTGGGCACCATTTCTATAGAGGTCCCGGCTGGCTTTGCATTTCTTGCTTGTTGTGTGACCCTAGCCAAGTTGCATAACCTATCTGAACTTCAATTTCTTCCCTTCCCTTATCCGTAAAATGAGGTAATTACACCTTCCTATGTGGAAGACTCTTGTCTAGACCTCTGTGGAGACTCTTGTCTAGAGTCCTGAGGTGTGTCATCAAGTGAATGCCAGAGAGGTGAGGGACAAGGGGTCAGTGGTGGCTTGGGGGTCAGTTGCACCGTGGTTAGAGGCTGGAAGGGGCTTGGATGCAACAGGTTAACCCCATTCCTGCCAGTCCTGCAGGACCCCTTCTTCCAAGGCGCAGGCCTAGAATGTTGCATTGGACCACACAGGGACCCAGGAGCAAGCTTGGCAGGAGAGCCCACGTTCCCGGTGGGTGTGGCTTTAGAACAGGGATCTCAGCATCCTTCACATGGCACCAGTCCCACTAGCCTGGGGCATGGCCCTGCTCCCTGCTCCTAGGCCTCATCTCAGCTGGAGCCGCCGGCTGGGGGACCAGGCGGGACAGAGATGTCATCTACAGTCAGTGCTTCTGACTGTCTTTCTCTCTGGGTACCAGGCACAAGTCTTGTTCTAGCTGCTTTTGCTGCTTGTTTTATGCTTGTAGTCGGCCTCTGGCTGGGGTCACAGAGTAATCCAGGTCCCTGACAAATTTCACAGGGGAAGGGGTAGAGTCCCTACTTCCATGGCTGCCACAGATACTGCTGATATAACAAGGGCCCATGCTAGCCTTCTGAGTTTACAGAAACGCCCATATCATTGGTCTGATGTCTCCTGGTTTTTTTTTTTTTTTTCTTTTTTTCATTTCGAGACAAGGTCTCACTTTGTAGTTCTGGCTGTCCTAGAACTCACTATATAGACAAGGCTGACTTTGAACTCACACAGCTCTGCCTACCTTTGCTTCCTGGGTGCTGGGATTAAAGACATCCATCATGCCTAGACTGATGCCTTTTTTTTTTTTTTTTGGTTTTTTGAGACAGGGTTTCTCTGTATTGTTTTGGAGGTTGTCCTGGAACTAGCTCTGTAGACCAGGCTGGCCTCGAACTCACAGAGATCCGCCTGCCTCTGCCTCCCGAGTGCTGGGATTAAAGGCGTGCGCCACCAACGCCCAGCCGACTGATGCCATTTTTAAGGCAAATGTTGAAAGCAATTACTTTGTAAGGTCAGAGCTGACCATTTTCATTTAATCCTCCTTTAATTATTTTAAATATATATGCACATATCTAGTATACAGACAAGCATAGTATACATATGTGTATAATATGTATGTATATTACATTTTTTGTGGTATGGAGATTAAATACAGGGCCTTGCAGATAGCAGCCAAAAATTCTACCACTGAGCCACACCCTCAGCCCACTTAGTTTTCATTTTTGGACTCTCACTCTGTAGCCTAGGCAGACCTTCAACTTCCTATCTCCCTGTAGTAGCCCCCCCAGAAGTTGGGATTACAAACCAGCACTACCAGGCTTGGCCATGAAGAAACTTTTGACAGGAAAATGATTACCAGGCACAACCGGGTCTAGGACACAGGCCTGTAACCCCTGCTACAAGGAGGCTGATGGAGGAAGATCGAAGCTTCAAAGGTTGCCTGGGCAACTTAGTAAGACTCAGTCTTCTTATTTCTCAAGATAAAAATAAGGAGAGAACTGGGGATATATACAGCTTAGCGGTAGAACATTTGCCTAACATGCAGGAAGCCATAGGATCAGATCCTAGTACTGCCAAAAATAAGAAATGAAATAAAACAACCAAACACAGAGTTTATCTACAGAGATTCCAGTTCCATGTGCTTTCAAACATCTATTTTGAAGGCTGGGTGTGTAGCACAGTTGGTAGAGTGTCTACCTAGCATTTTGGAAGCCCTGGGTTTGATCCTGCATAAACTGGCATCATGGTACTCATCTGTAACCCCAGCACTTAGGAGGTAGAAGCAGGAGAATCAGAAATTCAAGGTCATCCTTGGTTACATAATGAGTTTGAGGCAACGTGTCTCAAACACACCAACAAAAAGAAATCTATTTTGAAAAACTGACAATGAGGTATGGAGGGATGGCTCAGCGGTTGGGGTGTATGCTGCTCTTGCAGAGGCTTGAGTTCCGTTCTGAGCACTCACATAGGCAGCTGGCAACCAACTCCAGCGGAGGCAGGCGCGGGGTGGGGGGGGGCGGGGACGGGGACTTATCTTCAGAGGATACCTGCACACCAGTGTGCATACCCATGCACAGAGACGCACAGTAAAATAAAACAAAGGGGTGGGGCTGGCCGTGGTGGCGCACGCCTTTAATCCCAGCACTCAGGAGGCAGAGGCAGGCGGATCTCTGCGAGTTCGAGGCCAGCCAGGTCTACAGAGTGAGTTCCAGGACAGACTCCAAAGCCACAGAGAAACCCTGTCTCGAAAAGCCAAAAATAAATAAATAAAATAAGTATAAAACAAAGGATCTAGAGAATGGCTCAGCACTTCAGAACACTGGCTGCTCTTCCAGAGGACTGGGGTTCAATTCCTGGCAGCCACACCAGGCAGCTCACAGCTGTCCGTAGTTTCAGTCCCAGGGGTTCTGACACCCTTGCACAGACACACATGCAGGCAAAACACCAATGCACATAGATAAAAATAAACCATTAAAAAAACTAAACTGAAAAAAAAAAGAACTACAAAGCACACTTAATAGGATGGTGAGTAGAACAGGCTCTGTCACTCCTGGCTCTCCCTCTGCCTCCCTCACCATTTATAAAATGTTTTTAGTTTTGTGTGTATGAGTGTTTGCCTGAATGTGTGTGTGTGCACCACGTGTGTGCCTGGTGCCTGGAGGCCAGAAGAGGCATTGGATCCCGGGAACTGGAGTTACAGGTGTCTGTGAGTCACCACCTGGGTGCTGGGAGCCAAACCTAGGTCCTCTGGCAGAGCAGCCAGTGCTCGTAACCTCTGGGCCATCATCTCTCCAGGCCTTCTGACCACTGTTCTTCCGGATGTCCACATGGCAGGCTTCAGGCCCTCTGTCCACGCGCAGCCTCTGCCCATCTTGCTCCTGTTAGGAGACCCAGCTAGTTTCACACTCAGGGCCTGAGGCTTCCGTCCAAGTCCCTCAGACTCAGACTACACAGAAGGTGGGCCTGAAAGTAGGGAGCCAGCCCCATTTTGTGGGCCACACAAGCTCTGGCCTGTGCCCTCCCTGCTCTGTCCATCCTCAGGCTCTGGCCTGTGCCCTCCCTGCTCTGCCCTTCCTCAGGCTCTGGCCTGTGCCCTCCCTGCTCTCTCCTTCCTCATTGCTGTGCCTCAGTGGAGTGTGTCTGTCACACACTGCTTCAGCTGCTGGGCACCTGGCCCTGGTGTCCAGTCTGGTCCTCTCAGAGTCAGCCCTGCACAGCCATGGAGGCAGGCCTCTTCGGTGGCTCATCACTGCCTGAGGGCGAAGGGCAGCTTCCTCAGCTCCTCCGAGGATAAGAGCCTTCTGCCATGACAGGTGGCTTTCTGAAACAGAGCCTGCTCTTGTCTAGGACGCTGGGGGCCACTTCCGGCATTTGCTCCGGCCTCTCTTTAAACTTGGCCTGCCTTTCTTACCACCTCATCCCCAGGACCTGTGCCCCCTCACCCTGAGCCCAAATCCACAGCAGACAGAGCTCTTCATCTGCGCCCCAAGCCCAGTGCCAGGTCTGCCTTAGGCAGGTAGCTAGTTTGCCCTATTGCTTCTAATAATAGATTCTGAAGTGTATCCTATTGGCTACAGCGGTTGATGGGCATGGCTTCCTAATGCCAGCCAATCAGAGACTTTCTTAGGATTTGTCCAAGTAGAGGCTGACTGAAGGAAGGAAGGGCAGCTGTGTGTCCTTGAAGGAGCAGGAGGCCCACTGCTGGGAGTCACTTTCCCTGCCTCACACAGAGCTTATCTGCTGCAGCAGAGGGTGAAGCCCAGGCGGGGACTGGTGGCCATTAAAACTGAGGCGGGAGTGGCCTGAAGTCCCAGACCTGCCGGCTCTCAGGCCTCCCTGCATGGCATGCTCTTCTCTTTCTCCATCGGGACCACAGGGTCCTGAGCATTGCTAAGCTCACTTCTGGGTTAAGGAAACGGAGAACCCCTAAATCAGAAGCTCAAGGTCATCTTCAGCTACACTGGAAGTTTAAAGTCGATCTGGCTTTACATGAAACCCTGTTGAGAGAAAAAAGAGGAAGGAAGGAAGGAAGGAAGGAAGGAAGGAAGACAGGAAGGAAGGAAGGAAGACAGGAAGGAAGGAAGGAAGGAAGGAAGGAAGGAAGGAAGGAAGGAAGGCAGGCAGGCAGGCAGGCTACCTCACTCTGAGAAGAAAGATGGACAGAACCAGAGGAAAGGGAGAGACAGGCATAGCCGCTTACATCATTCACTGTTTGGCCTTAGTCTGGCTGGCTGTCGCCAGGCTGCCCTGAGGTGGTATTGAGTGACATCTTCTTCCCTGGGACTCTGCAGGGGTGGACAGAAACCCATTAGCTGGGGATCCATGGGGCAACCAGACACTCCCAAAGGCTCACAGAAGGGAGACAGTTCCAGGAGAGACAGAGAGGCCAGCTCCCTCCAGAGCGGTGGTTCTCAGTCTTCCTAAGACTGCGACCCTTTAATACAGCTCCTTGGGTCGTGGTGACCCCAACCATACAATTATTTTTGTTGTTACTTCATAACTGTGATTTTGCTCCTGTTATGAATCGTAACGTGTATATCTGATGTGCAGATGGACTTAGGTGACCCCTGTGAAAGGATCACTTGACCCTTTAAGGTTGAGAACTGCTGTTCTAGACCTTTCTTTGGGAGCCTGTGGGGTGGGAAGAGAATTGGAGTTTAGTACTCCAAGTGTGTTCAAGGTCCTACTCCCTCCTCCATGGCAGGAATCTCTTTGGCATTCCAGAGAAGTTGGGGCCACCAGAAATGTGTGTGTCTTGTGTGTCTGCCATGGGATGTCCCCACTTAACGGCAGTCTCTGTCCTTGGAGTGGGCGAGTGGGAGGGTGGGGCCTATCTCGTGGGCCTGTGGGCTTTGCATGGCTGGGAGCAAGCACTCTGGCAGGGAAAGGCCATCTTTCCCAAGTCCATCTCCATGTCCTCAGGTCCAGGACGGGGGTATGAGATCATGGAAAGTGACACCCACACGGGGTCACAACTCTAAGAGTTGAGGACTTACATGCCTTGGTGCAGGTAATAAAGATGGTGACCCACTTTGGCCAGGGTTGTCCTCATTTTGGATGGTGTGTATGCGGTGAGCCGGTGATCTGGGCTCACAGCCTTGGCTCTGTATAGCTATGATGTATTGCACTCTAGGCAGGCAAGAGCAGATGCCTGCGGGAGACCCGATAGTGGCTGGCTGAGTGGTCAGCCTTGGATTGCCCTATCCCCATATTCCCCACTCTGCCTCCCACATCTGCAAGACCTCGGGCAAGGACTTAACCTCGCCAAGTTTCAGCTGCATCGTCTGCCAAATGGGGACAGTAATTAATATTACCTTCACCACCCATCACGCTTGCATACGGCTAAGGGGCGAAAACGCGTGGCGTTTCAACACAGGCTTGGCCTAGAGCCAGCACCCAAGACAGGGGCATTAGAAGCCAGCAGCTCGCCATGTGAAGTTCACTAAGCTGTCCGAGTCACGGGTGAGGCTTGTCATTATAACACCACTGTCTCCACTTTACACAGGAGGAAACTGAGGCTTAGGACACCGAAGGGAGTTACCGTCACCCAGCCAGCAAGTGAGAGCCACGCTTCTAGTGCCTGTCTGCCCATGGGCCCTCCCATTTCTCTGAGGTGCAGATCGCTTTTTTATTTCTGGTTTTCGAGACAGGGTTTCTCTGTGTAGCCCTGGCTTTCCTGGTACTCTCTCTGTAGACCCGGCTGGCCTCGAACTCACAGAGATCCGCCTGCCTCTGCCTCCCGAGTGCTGGGATTAAAGGCGTGCACCACCACCACAGTGACCCAGCTCACTTTTCTAGTGAGGCTTCTGCAACTTTCTCCCACTCTCTGGGCTCTCTAGTTAACACCATGGAGCCCAGCCTTTACCTCCAAAGCCCCAGACCCTTACTTTTCCCAGGACTGCTGCCTCCAGAGGCTTCCACAGGGCTGAGTCACTGCTGACATCCTGTGGCTTGAGGTCTCCACAAGGGTCCAAGAGAACATTGTGGTTTTGGTTTTCTGCCCTCCTCAACGCTGGGCCCTTCACGTTCCTCACAGACCTGGGTCTCTAGCGTATTCCCTCCATTTTCATCCTTCCCCAGTAAAATGTGGCCGTGTCAGGGAGGTTCCTGCCACCCACCCACACGGGGAGGTGAAAGTGTAGCTATGGTGGTCTGCTGGGGGCCTTGGGGGCCCCACTCACCTCTCTGCCTCTGCTCCCTATGCCTTCCCAGCCAGCTTCTCATCCCTACCAACCCCAGTGGCCTCCGGCCTCACATCCCTGTCTTCAGGGTCCTGGGCTTACTAGTTTACATCTTCCGTAGCCTCTCTTTTCTTACCCAGATTCCTGTTGTGAATTGGAAAAGAGATTTGGTCTCGGGCGCGGAGACGTGTCTTGTTCATAAGCCCTGGTCCTCCCCCTCCCAGCGCAGGCTCCTTATCTGCTGTGTGGAAAGGGACACTAGCAGTAGCTCCCCACGACTCCAGACACCTCCCCTCAGCCTCCCCAGCAGGGAAGCTCGCCTTCAAAGGTTAGCAAGTCCCTCCTCCTCCCCTGGTAACCCTGAGAGACCAGGTCCATGGGGGCTTGAGGGAGGTGCCCCAGTCGCTGGGCCTGCACACTGACCTCAGCCGAGGGCAGATCGCCCTCTTCCTAGGTTCCCCACTTTCTCTGCTTGAACTCTAGGCCTCGGTTTACAGATAGTCGCTGTGTGGGATACAAGACTGAGATGAGCCACTGGCCTCGAGTAGCCGCAAAACAGATCCTCCCGTTCGTTACAGAAAACAGGAAGCTAAGATGATGGCTGCCCGGCCACAGACCCGCGTGCGCTGCAGGGGCTGCTGGAGCTTTGGAGCTAGACTAGGATGAGTGGGGTCTGAGTGGGGAGACCAGAGTTAGACATCCCCTTTGAGATCGCCTCACCTGCTCCGGGGACCCAGGAGATTGCTCTCACCCGCGGTTGGCGCGGTTGGTCGTTAGGGACGCCTGAGTCGCCAGGGGGCGGGCCGTGAGCCGTGCGCTCTGGGCGTTGGCTGACTCTTCCCCCCCCGCGCCCCGCCCCCCTCGCGCCCGAGTGCTGGGCTCACGACCCTGTCTGTGGCCTTGGGCTCTGCTTGTGCTTTCTGGCTGCGAGTTTCGGGATGCACAAGCCTTTTGCACGGAGAGGATGTACTTTTGGTTAGGGGCGGGGGAGGGGAGAAGGCCCAAGCGAAACAAAGCAAACAGGGGAGGCACAGGTACTTAAGAATCCCCCTGTTGTTGATTGGTGGCGCACGCCTTTAATCCCAGCGCTCGGGAGGCAGAGGCAGGCGGATCTCTGTGAGTTCGAGACCAGCCTGGTCTACAGAGCGAGTTCCAGGACAGGCTCCAAAACAACACAGAAAAACCCTGTCTCGAAAAACAAAAACAAAAACAAAAAGAATTCCCCTGTGGTCAGGCTGAGGACTCCAACTCTGCTTGGGGAGCCCCTTCATCTTTCTCCAATAGGAACCGGTGTCAGGCAGGCAGAAAGGGCCAGGGCCTCCACAGTGCTCCTTCACTCTGAAGCCTGGCGCCTGCAAAGTTTCCAGCATGACAGGAGAGTGTTCCTGTCCTGACTCCAGGGATCTGTATAGGAAGAGGAATCCTTCTCCAGAGCAGAGGACCAGCAGACTGGTGGAGGGGTCCCAGGGAGGCAAAGCTTAGCTTCTCTGGTCAGATGGCTCCGGTGCATCCCAGCACGGTGGCCATGGAGGTAAATACTATAGACCGGTCTATTAGCGAGTTCCAGAGGTCAAGCCATGCAGCGAGGAGCCAGGCTTCTGTTCCCAAAGTCCCTTCAAGCCCTCCCTTACAAAGGGTCACTTGTGTCGTTGTGGATGACCTCGAACTTCTGACATTCCTGTCTCACCTCTCCAGGACTGTGATAACAGGGGTGTCGTTTGGTTTGCCGGGTATGTGTGGTACAGGGGAACAGACCCAGGGCTTAGTACATGCTAGGACTCTGCCACCTGGGCTACATCCCCAGCCCAAATGATCACTCATCAGTCACAGTGTGGCGCTACGGCACCGTGGGCCCACGCTGCTCTTCTGTTATTAGACAATGTCAAGGAACCCTTTCTGAAGATGTGTGCCCCCTCCCCAGCTTCGCAGTGGCTTCGTTCTGATAGAGGAGGAGGGGCCTCCCCGTTCTGATAGAGGAGGAGGGGCCTCCCCGTTCTGATAGAGGAGGAGGGGCCTCCCGTTCTGATAGAGGAGGAGGGGCCTCCCCGTTCTGATAGAGGAGGAGGGGCCTCCCCTGACTTCATCCTGCTTCAGCCGCTCTGTGTCCGTGTATAGATGGGAACACATGTGTCCATGCAGATGGGCGGTAGAGGGCCCGCCTCAGGCGTTATTGTCCCCCTTGAGAAAGGGTCCACTGCTCTGAACCTCAGCCAACAGGCTAGGCTGGACGACTCGTGGAAGCCAGGGCTCTGCCTGTCCCTGAGCACCCGTGCCCGCTCTGCACGGCTGGGATTAGAAGGGTGCACCACCTCACCTGGGTTAAGTGGCCTCTGGCACTTGAACTTGGGTCACCACCTCAGCCCAGCTTCAGTCTTTTCTTCAGCTCTGCCTTGAGGCAGGCGCTGCGTTAACGTTTAAAAGGCTATTTATTGTTGGCTGGGCATGGTGGAGTCTGCTTCCAGCCTCAGCGCTTGGGAGGCAGAGGTCTCTGTTGGAGGCCAGCTTGGCCCACAGGGAGTTCCAGGGCAACCAAACGGCTATATATGGAGACCCTAACTAACTCAGATAAGAAAGTCCATCACTGACTCAGGTCTGACAAATGGGGAACCTGCATAAGACAGAACTAGACTCCCTTTATATAGGTGACAATGGTGTGGCTGGGACAATATATGAGGGCGCTGGCAGTGGGTCCAAGATCTAACGCTGATTCATAAACTGAATAGTGGAGCCCGTTCCGTATGGAGAGAGACCTTGCTCAGCCTAGACACGGGTGTGGGAGTGGAGAGGGGCCTTGGTCCTGCCTCGGTGAGATGATGGGACAGACTTAGTAGACTTCCTAGGGGAGGCCTCACCCTCTCTGAGGAGCAGACGGGAGGAGGGAGGGGGGGAATGGTAGGAGAGGAGGGAGGGGGACCTGGGATTGGAATGTAAAAAATAAACTAAAAAAAAAGAAAGTCCATCACTGGTCTGACCACCCATGGCTTCTCTGAACCCTGCCTCACAGCCTGGGCATTCACTGGCTGTTCTCCAGCTCAGGTCTCCTTAGCTCACACGCACCCTTACCCTCCAGCTCAGACACCCCCTCACAGTGGGGTAGTGATGTCACTCCTGTCCCTCTGTGCCCATTCTCTCCCTTCTCACCCTTGACCCCGCTCTCCACTGCCTGCCCCCTCCTCTGTTTTTCTCCCCGGGGAGCAGGTTCCACAATGGGACACGCCCTTACGTCTGGTGTTTGTCACTGTCAGTTCATTAACCAGCCGCTGTGCTCAAAGTATCAGCAAGCCATCCTGGCCTTACATCAGACAAGTCACTGTTAAAAAAGGGGAATGACACAGGGGTGTGTGCCCCGCTGTTCTGATTTTCACGTGACACCTGGGTCTTCATAGCCAGGACACCCTTCCTGGTACCCAGCCAATCCTGGCCCAGAGACCCCATCTGAACACTGGTGGTTGGATGGTCTAGACTTAGGTACCAGGTGTCTTTCCATAGGGTGAGCGGTCAGATTAGTGATGGGGTACGCATGCCATGCTGAGGAAGGCCACTCTCACATTGCATCTGGGCGTGACTCATATTGCAGGGGCCCCAGAATCCAAAATAGGGATTTGGGTGTGCTGATGCTGAGGTTGTGGTGACTGTGGATCATCATGCGGGTGCTGGGAACAGAACCTGGGCCCCAGAAGAACAGCAAGCACTCTTCATTCGTTCACTCATTCACTCATTCATTCATTTATTTATATTTTCAAGACAGGGTCTCTCTGTGTAGTCCTGGAACTCACTGTAGACCACTCTGGCCTTTCCCACCCCTGTGCCATCAGGCCACTCTTCTCTGTGTAACAGCCCTGGCTGTCCTGGAACTCACACACATTCGCCTGCCTCTGCCTCCCAAATGCTGGGATTAAAGGCGAGCGCCACCAACACCCGGCTCACACCACTCTCGACAACATTATCCTCCAGAACTCCCAATCCTCCGTTAAATACTTTTTAAAAATTTTTATTATTTTGTGGGCATGAGCGTTTGCCTGCATATATGTCTGTGTACCACATGCCTGCCTGGCGCATGAGGAGGTGGGGAGGCCTCCATGTGGACGCTGGGAATTGAACCCAGGCCCTTTCCAGGAACAAGCACTTTTTTTTGTTTGTTTTGTTTCTCCAGACAGGGTTTCTCTGTGTAACCCTGGCCATCCTGGAACTTATTACTCTGTAGACCAGGCTGGCCTGGAACTCACGTAGATCTGCCAGCTTCTGCTTCCCAAGTGCTGGGACTAAAGGTGTGTGCCACCACCACCCTGCTGAAACAATTGCTCTTAACCACCTGGCCGACTCCCCAGGCCTGTGAACTACTTTAATAGGCACTGTCAGCTACAATAGCCCAGGTCTTCACATTTGTTGGGATTGCTGCTTTTCGGTCCATGATTGTTTCCTGTAGTCTCCTGGTGTCAAGTGGCACAGGTGTCCCTCTTCAGCTCAGACACCCGGCCTCCAGCTGCTGCGGGTCCACTGCCTCAGCCTCCAGGAAGGCCATGTGGCTGCAGGAGAGCTCCTGATGCTTGCCTCATTCCTTTGGGTCCTGGGTGGGCCTGGTCAGAGCTGGCTGAGCGCGTAAGCTCGGGCTGTCCCGAGGGCAGCCTCCAGGTCAGCAGTGTGCCCGGTACCCTGGGCTATCACTCGAGAGCCCCACGCCTTGCCTCCCATGCGGCTGCACACAGCCAGTGCCCAGGCTTCTGCTGTGAAGGTGGGTGTGGCACCCTGGGGAGAGAATCGGGAGGGGCAGCCATGTGGAGCAGTCCTCATTGCCGCCCTCGAGCTCGCCAGCAATGAGCACCCTCTCCCGGGCTGAGCACCAGGAGGGGCATCCAGTGAGGCAACAAGGGGAGGACTGCACCGGGAATATGTACGGAAGTGACGAACACCCCAGGCTTATTTGCGAGGAACTGAGGCCTAAGGGGCCGCTGACTAGGGACTCTCACATCGCCTTCTGGGAAGGGGAGTGGGCAGCTTGGGGACAAGGAGACATTAGTCTATCCCTGCCATAGGTTGTCTCCCCCTACGCTAGATCTCCTGCTTGGAAGGAATGAAAGAGGTGAGCCAGAGCTAGGCAGGGACCACTCGGGGTGGGCTCTGGGGACCCCTCACCTGGGCCACCTGGCAGGCACACAGCACACCGCCCGAGGGCTGGGGGCTGAGCAGCAGCACTGACACGCTGGGGGCCTTTTCGCACAGCTGCCGAACAACCTTTACCAGTGCCTGTGTGAGGACAGACGGCACAGTGGCCCACCACACCCTGAGGCCCAGGTCCTCCCCGTCAGGCTCGAGGCAGCCCCTCCTCGCACAGCACTCACTGAGAGGGACTCAACGGAGACCGCGTCCACAATCAGAGGCCCCTCTGAGTGACGTTTCAACAGCTCCTGGGATTTCTCCGCAGCCTGTGGGGCGGGAGGATCAGCAGAGGGATCAGGCATGGATACTCTGCTTCCGAACCAAGACCCCTCCTTCCCATGCTCCCCTCAACAGGCCACTAGTTCTGCGGAGAGGTGGCAGGGATCTGCCTGGCATGGCCTGCTTTCTTGGGTTCCTTCTGCGACTGCCTTACCTTCTGTCTCATGACCCCACGGAAGAAGGTGAGAGGAAGAAGGCCAGATGGACTGGGAGGGGACTAGAAACTGACAGTCAAGGAGCAATGAAGGCCGACTGGCATTTGAGTCAAGAGGCTGCCTAGTGGGAAGGGCTGGGGAGAGCTACAGCCAGGCAGAGGAGGGGAAGGGCTTGGGGATGTGGTGCCTGGGAGCAGATGAAGCTGGCCCTGACTGGCTGCTTCCTGAGGTTAGTGTGGTGCCA